AGGAAATTTCGTTTTAACTTGTTTTTAAGCATAAAATAAAAAGAAAATTTGTTTGTTTATTGTGTAAGATGTAATTTTATTTCTTTATCTCGTGAACTTTAAAAACAGTACTCTCACTCGTGGCAACGCCACTCGTGAGAATACTGTTTTTAAAGCCCACTCGATGAAATAAAATTTCATCTTACACACAAACAAACAAATATCCTCTATTTATTTTGGGTATGTGATAAAAAGAATATTAAATTTGTGTAAGTTCATTACTGAATTTATTGCACTCGCTGAATAAAATAATATTATACTCGCCAGAGGCTCGCATAATATAATTTTATTCAACTCGTGCAATAAATTCAGTATTGAACTTACACACATTCAATATCCTCTATTTCAGGCATTAACGCTGTACAGACGTTTAAAGAGTTATTTACGTGACGTCACAATGTAGCGCTAAATATCGCGCGCAAAACAAGACAATAATTATATTACTGCGCGCTGTATAATTGCAGTTGCGTAGCAAGCAAGGGGGTTGGTAACCATTTTTCTTTGATAATGAAATTAAATAAAAAAGGTTATTTTTTTCGTTTTTCGTGAACTATGGTATATATTTTCACTCAACATGATAAAATGCCACATATTTTCACTCGCCGTCCCGGCTCGGCGAGTGAAAATATGTGGCATTTTATCATGTTTCGTGAAAATATATTCCATAGTTCACTCAAACGAAAAAATATCCTCTTAGTATTTTTATATATAATCAGTTCAATATAAACAAACGCTTTTCTTAAGCTTTCGACGTTTAGTCTTCTTCAGAAAAAATATTGACGTTTATAAAATAACAAATGACAAATGACGCAACGTCCGTTTAACTATACGCTAAACAGAACGTGACGTTAACGCGGGAATAATTATAACTATTGATCAGTACTTGTCCTTTGGTTACATGGCAGACTCAGTAATTCAGAAGGCTAACGCCAGGTTAAAGTTCCTTTACCGTAAGAAAGATTTCCTTACACAGCATACCAAATCAAAGCACTGAATGTACTGATGGGGAGGCTATGAGAGAATGTTTCAGACTTATAGTGTCTTTTCTTTTTGCTTAAAATATGCTACCAAAATAAAAAGATATGCACATTGCGCTATTTATCCTTACTGTTGTGTTCAAACATTCATATATATGGTTAATGTGGTTGACTATTCATTTTGTTAATATTCCAGAAACATTTCATTGAGGTCTACATTCGGACTGTTAATCATACAAATTTTGAAAAACCTAAACTGTCAATAATAAATGACATACCAGCAAGTATGACGACTGTTCATTATCAGAATAACAATAACATTTTACAACTGACGGTTCCTTATCAAAATCACAGGAACTTGAAATTCTATCAAAAAACCAATATTAATTATAATATCCAAATATACCCCCTATATTTACTATAAAAAAAAACACAAACACAGGAACTTGAAATTCTATCAAATAACCAATATTAATTATAATATCCAAATATACCCCCTATATACTATAAAATTTTTTATAGTATATAGGGGGTATATTTGGATATTATAATTAATATTGATTTTTGATAGAATTTTCAAGTTCCTTTGTCAAAATATTCTAGGACTGTTCATCATAAATACTTTATGTCATTTTAATATTATTGAATGATAATAACAACTGCAAGTGATGCAACATTTTTATTGAACATAAAAATTATACACGTTTAGATGTACCATAATTGAGATCAAATAAGAACTGTCTTGTGATGAGTATTAATATTCTTGCTCTACGCACAGAAGGTTGTCTTCTCCAGAAGCAAATCTCATCAAAAAAAATCACGTTTCAGAAAATTATTCCCATTTCATTACTGACGGCGTCGGATAATTATAAAAGCTAAATATTTCTTGTAAAAAATACAATCTGCAAAGCTTATTCAAAACTGAATCAACCTAAGTGAAAATTGATCAGGAAGTTATATCTTCTTTTTACCGCCAACACTGCAACCAACTAATGGTAGTTAAATCGATAGCTTGTGTATTTTTAAACCTCACTAGCTTTGAATATATACTGCGGAAAATCTGTTGTTAACAGGGTGTTGCGGTTATTACGTAGGGTTTTCCCTGTCGACCATTTCCCGCAATAGATGAGAACATCGAAGCCGTCAGTGCTATGAATGGGTTATAAATGGGCGTGTTTTGGAAGTTTTTGTTGAAACTTCTCCAATTTCCTCCAGAGGGTGCACGTCGCGGAGAAGGCACACGGAAGGACATAGTCAAGTCATCATAAGTACCAGAGGTGATTGGTTGACCTGTGGTGACTTACTCTGGAGGTTTGGCGCTAATAGATCGTTTTTGTTGTCGTCAGTCAGAAAGTTGATGCGCCTTGACGGTATTGTCGTCTCCTTTACCACCAAAGAACGAAAAATGGGCTTCCAGAAAAGAATCTGCTTGAAAAAGACGTCCAGATGCTATAATCTCGGACATATGGTTATTCCGGCGCGAGGTATAAATAAACTTAAAATACACTCACTTTTGTTGGAAAACAAAACAAAAAAACAACAACACATTTTCTGTAGTAATTTTTTCAAAGTGTTGTAAAATGAATAAGAAATTCCTCTTATGCCCGCCGATTATTTTTAGAACACAAACATAAAAGTTCTTTTTTTTATTTTTCAAATAAACATAATCAATTCAGCGCGCGCAAAATATCGTTTTTCAAAATTAAAGTTTCGTAAATATGTTAATGACTTCCCGATGCTCGACTGTTAAGTAATTTGTATATGTATGCGGTTTTTTTTTTTTTTTTTTTTTTTTTTTTTTTTTTTTTATTAATGCTTCTTATTCTTTAATTATTTTTTATGTATCTCATAAGCTGTATTGGAAAATTTGAATTTATTACACATGGACTATCAAATTATGATTTATGCCCTAGAATTGAATAAACTTTCTAATTACACAATACGGGGTCATACTGATCTTTGCGTCTTTCTCTGAAATAATTATTTCTTTGTTAAAACATATTGACCACATATTCTGTCAATTAACTGTTCACTTTACTTCCGAGATTTTTTGTGTACGGAAACACATGTTTCTATTTGTGTTTTCTAATCAATTCGAATCTATAATCAGTTTAATGGGATCACCACCCGGTAAACGACTACTAGGTACTTTGGTCATGTTTTTTACCCCAAATATTTTGAATGTTTTTCTATTGGGAATTAAAATGAGCATAGTTAGTAAACAACTGGTTGTATAAATCCCTGACCTGTCTAATTCTAATTATGAGATCAGTGAATATATAAGACTTTCACTACAAAATATTCCCTAAACAAAAGAGCACTGTTTAAATTTATTCCTATACAAATAAAAGATCAGAGTAGGGATCTGTCAATTGCCAAATATACTTTTATGTTAAAAGTTTGATTAAATGAATTTGTAAGATGAAATATAAGTATTGCTTTTTTTTATTTGCTAATGTAAAATGTAATATTGTGCTGGAATTTTGTCGGAAGGTCCTTATAGGGGTTTTGTAGTTAAATAGTTTTTTTTTCGGCGATAATGTTCAAGAATATAATGTTTCAAACTATATGCTCATCACCATCAGTGAATTTTTAGTTAAAATGTATGCAAAATATTTTACTAACAGCTATGATATAGCGGTTTATGACCGTTTTCCGCGTACAGCCCTCCTGGGTGTACTAATAAGTTAGTTTTCCTTAGTTATCACGCAAGCATGATCCATGTCTCTGATGTAAGCGACAGTTTACAATTATTTGTCTTTTAAAAAAAATATTAAGGACTTTAATGGTTTATAACAACAAAAAGAACATGCATGATATTGAGAATACGGCATTGTATATACACCGGTCCCTCAAATATCGTCAGTAAGACCGTGTACACAATGGAGAATACGGTGTTGGAACGTTCTAGTTAATGACCGTCATAAACAGTTGGTCGCTGCGTAGTAATTGGAAAATTGTTATCAAGAATAATAAAGAATATTTGCCACTGAATTAAAGCATTTACTTACAAATTTTCATTTATGCTTTTTGTTTAAAAAAATATTGATAAAGTTATTATTTTTGAAGGGTTTCATACCAGAACTATTTATTACAGACGTACGTACGTATGCCAAACCTGGTTACGCGGCAGTATGACGTCACGGAGTAGTGATTTAAACAAAAATCAAGAATTTTTCAGAGATTATTATCTTTACAAATTGCAGATATATGAAATTAAAGAATTTGAAAATATTTTCATATTGTAAATGTCTGTGATGACTGATGAGTCAGCTTAGAAAAGATCAAGGTACTATTTTTTGACCTGATTACCGCGGCAGTAAGATTTGACGAACAGTTATTAACATTGGGTCGGCATAGCCTCCCCAAAAACTGCTTGTCAATTCATTAATTCAGTGCCACTTTGACTATGCCTGCTGTGTCTGGTATAATGGTTTAACTCAGGTCTTGAAAAATGAATTACAGACAACACAAAATAAAATGATAAGATTATGTACAATGGAAACTTTGAACACGCTGATAAGTGAGTTTGAAAAAGAATATTTGATTGATCTTGATTATGACTATTTTTAGATTGATATTAAAAACATGTATATATACAGCTTCGGAGAATTATGTCATGTATTCTCATACCTATTTTATATTTATCATTACCGCCAGACAAGTGTTTTTGAAGTATATATTGTTGTTTTGTCTTAATGCTTTGTTACATCTTTGTATGCATTGTCCTTCTAATCCTGGCCAATTCTCGTTTATTCAGATCCATTTAAAGCTGGTTGTAAAATGCTGAACCTTATTAAACTAATGATCATGAAATATTTTCCTTTTTGCCTTATTGTTGACTGCTGTTAAGTTATAAGTGCTCCTGAGCGATACAATTATTATGTTCATATGTGAAATTATTAAACATTCAGAATAGAAATTGAATATCAATGAAGTCAAAATTCTCATTTTAAAGGATCAAGTTTCAAAGTGTCAGCTAAAAATGGCGGGCAAAGTTGAGTATGAGTACAGAAGTACTTTTACACCACCGTATTGGAAATACCAATATTTTCTCAATGGCATAACGGCCAGCAAAGAACTCGAACTCCGTTTCGATACATTTCCACCAACACATTGCTTTGAACAAGACGATAATTGTCTGCAGGATCCGTTACAAGTAAAAGATTTTTTAACTGGGGTAAATAGCATTTTAATTATTATGTGAAATATTTTTGGAGATATCTTCAATAATAAATTTTATAAGTAAGTTTTATAAATAAGTGTTACTAACGTCATGATATTTTTTCTGACCTGAATCATTTTGACAAATTAACTATGCCTTAACATATATGTATACATATTCAGTACACGTCACTCTACCCGATAAACGGGAATTACAAAAAAGTAATAATAGAATAATCAAAGTAACAACCTATAGCTGCTATAAGAAATGTTCACACTTTTATAAAATATAAATGATCTCCGTTATGTTTGTTTGATAAAGTTTCAAGTACTTTGCTAAATATTTTTAAAGTATTTTGTAGTTCTAACCATACTACAAATCCAATCATACTACATGTATATGTAAACCATAGTTGTTCACTTATAAGGTGTGTTACAGTAATGATAATTTTAACGCAGCTAGCTAACGAAATGTCATCAATTCTGTTCAGGCACCCACTGACGCATGAAATAAGGTACTTAGGACACCAAGGTTTCCTCTTCCAGACCTCTATAGCGCTAATGTAGCATACCAATTCTTAAAGACATTTTCTACAGTTTTATGAAAATTTAATCCTTTCATAGAGTTTTCTAAATTTTTTGTATGATAAGTAAAATTTAATGGCGAATTCAAAAATAAAAAGATAAATATATGTTGACGTGTTGGATTTCTTGAAAAATGGCAGTTTCCATGGTAACCATATATCTCAAAACTGTCAAAATAGCCAAACTGTGTTATAACAAATAGAAAATGTATAAAATAGCTTAATACACACAACAAGCATAGTTTTATGCAAAGATAACCTTATCTAATGATTCTGTATGAAACAAATGATAATCTGAACATATTTCTTTAAAAATTGAGTTTTCCATGTTCCTTATTCGAACAAAAAATGAGAAAAATAAACATAAATTCTGTGAATAATTAAAGATATTGAAAAATTTCTTTCATAGGATTTTCTAATTTGTTTGTATGTTGTGTAAAATTTAATGACTAATCCAAAAATAAAATGAAAAATATATGTTGACGTGTTGGATTTTTTGAAAAATGGCAGTTTCCATGGTAACCGTATATCTCAAAACTGTCAAAATAGCCAAACAGTGTTATAAAAATGTGTAAGACAGCTTATTACACTCTCAATAAACATAATTTTATACAAAGCTTGCTTTATCTTAGGGTTCTGTATAAAACAAACGATAATTGGAACATATTTCTTCAAAAAAAATGAGTTTTTCATGCTTTTTAACTAAACAAAAAATGAGAAAAATAAACATGATTTCTGTAAAAAATTAAAGCTATCAAGAAATTTCTTTCATAGACTTTTCTACATTTTTGATATATCAAGTAAAATTTTATGGTGGATTAAAAAATAGAAATAAAATATATGTTGACGTGTTAGTTTTTTTGTAAACAGGCAGTTTCCATGGTTACCGCATATGCCAACTGTCAAAATTACCACGCTTTCTTAGTCCTGAAATATCAGTGTTATACTAAATGTATTGTCATATATACAACAAAAACATGTTGTTATAAAAATTTATTTTTCTTTTGATGTTATATTAAGTAAATGATACTGAATATGTTTTTAAAACATGTTATATAGGGCCATATTATTTTTTCACTCGACTAACATACCCGAACAGTAAGCAAGTAGTCCCTATTTAGAAATTTACAAAAAAATAATGAAATTCGCAACATTTCTTAGATATTAGTTTTGTTTTTTCTTCAACACTTTTAAAATATATCATTTTAAACTTCTTTTCCCAGTTGTCTGCCAGAAATCAAGTGGCGACACACTTTCGTCACTATATATACCACATTTGGGTGGGGTAACGCGCGCCGAATCATCATCAATGCTGTCGTATTAATGCTAGGAGAAATCCTTTATCTGATGTTGTCTAAACGACCTCTTATTCTTTTGAACCGATCTCCTCCTGAACATTTAGAAATATCTGTTCTGTATTATTTACTTATTTTTTGCTTATACCCGAATTTTAAACACTTATCCGAGTACTATTCAACTTGACCTTCTTTTTGAAGAGTAATTATCCGTGATTATCTTTCTTGGAAACGCAAAACGATGCGCACAAAAAACTACCGAAAACGTCTTTAAATGGATATTTATGGAGTCAAACCAGCTCTGAATGATGCATTCCAGTCAAGCGGAACATGATGCCATATAGACTTGCCTGCTTCTGCTTAAACTGCTCATCAAAAAATAATTTCTGACATAATAATATCTGACACTCATATATATTGACAGAACCTTCTCTCCAGATGTGTCTAACAATGTTATAGAACGTGAACAACCACTTCATAAATCTACACTCAGTTGAAAAGAGTCTGGGCATGTTATTTGTAACTTCATTGTAAACATAAAATTATATAAAGAAACAGATTGAAACAGAAAGATGAACTCGTTTTCTATGAATATAAGGCGACTTGGGCTGTATATCAAAATATACAAAACAAGTTATTTCGTAATCATGGCTAGTATTTTTTGGTCTTTATTATATAGATCTCCTATAAAGTCTAGAGCCTTAATGATCATCGATTGACGATAAATGTTTTGACCGTTTCTTTCAGTCCAAATTCACAGCATATTGGGCTGGGTGGACTGATTTGGATTCCGGTATAGACGAATACGAATTTAATATCTATTATTTAGAAAACTCACTGGACGATAATCTTCTTAGACATAAATACATGTTAACGCCAACGAGGTTATTATCATCTCGGGTATGTTTTGAAGTTAACAATGAAAATCCATAATTGGATAATTATATAATTTTGATTAAACATTTAGAAGCAACTACACATTTGTGTTAATTAATACAAAATATGAGCCTTGAATTGTACAAATGATTGTTTCTTAATGATCACGTCTGATTCATACGAATATTTTGTGAAACTTCAAACTCCAAGACAGCATTATAGTTTCTTTTCTTTTTTTCTTTTTCATTGTTTTTTTTCTTTTTTGCTTAATCAATTCTTAATCATGTGTTGTATTAAATATTTTTGGTTTTGTACTAAACATAATGTTGTATCGTTTTCTTCAGTCTTCTGCAACTCTGGACCTAGACGAACCGGGACCGTATTCAATAGAGATTATTGTATATGACCGTGCTAAGAATTATAAAGTTTCTAGAAGAATCATTCTTTATGACAATGCGTCAGTTGTTAATCTACACGGTGAACCGTCAAGCATTGTTCAAGCTGATGATTCCGGATGGATAAATAAACATAGCGAAAATATCGAAATTGTATGGCCAAATAGATTCCGGAATATAAGACATTACAACGGTGGATGGCTTAATGGAGTACAAAAAAATGATGACGTTATTAAAGATCTTGATGACATAGAAGGAAGATCAAGTAGAACAGTTGACAGACTGAATAACGTTAACGGTAATATATATATTGAGAAAGCAAAGAAATGTATTTCTAACCTGTAATTGAAGTTTTCGTGTATCTAAAATGGTTAAATCATCTTCATTGGGTATTAATCATAATTTATGCAAATGTGAAAGTATCAATGATCCAGAACTAAACGCTGATATCCGCCAGGGGTGTCCTATCACAATAATCAATGCACTAGATATCTATTACATTGCATAATAAGTTTTTTTTTGAAAACTAAATTCTTTGTTTTGTATTGTTTCAACAACTTATTCAGCTCTTTACGTAAATATATTTCAGGAATTGTTCGGTTTGATGTTGCACGCAATGTTGAGTTTGATGGTAAATCAACCTATGATGGATTCGAGCGAGTGCCTGAAGAGTTCTTCAAACTAGAAAAGATGGTTTATACTGATGAGGAATTTGTGGATGGAAAGAAGCTTACGTATATCATTCGTGCCACAGATGCATTTGGAAAATTTGCCGAGGATAACGTAACAGCTATGATAGATCTATCTCCACCAATAATAAAAAAAATATGGCTATCAAATGGCAATGCTAAAGCGAACAGCTTCTTTGGACTTCATGAATTACTGTAAGCTATGACACAATTACTATTTTGTCCAGTGCTAATAGAAAAAAGTATCAATCAGCCTTTTTGAGATACATTGTCTTCATAGTATTAACAAAAAGGACAGATTTAATAGAATCAATGTACTTTCTTTTAGAAAATCTTTGTTATTAAGTATTATTTTTATTTGTTAGAATTGACTGGAAGGCATTTGATTACCACAGTGGAATACACAAGCTTTCCTGGAAAATATTTGAAAATATTACCAAAACTGACATCACCTTTGGAGAGATTAATGAGCCACCAATAGGGGAAACAAAGGTATTCAGACAATTGTCAGCTTTTCTTAAATGTATCAAGCTACTGATTAAAGGAACAGTAAATGCAACTTTGCATATGATTGCCAACTATAAGCCTCTGGAAACTAAACAACAAAATTAGTCATTTTGAATATCCACATCATTGTCTTTCGATTGTCTAATGTGATAACATTTATTATAACACAGTTGTTGTTTTAGTTCTTTTTTTCTAATAAGAAGCCATTTGTTTGTTTGCAAAACTTAGATTATACTTGACACTAAATAAAACTTTTATATTTTACGATTGCAAATTGATATCATTCACTAAGAAAATAAAGATCATAACGTTTTTATTTACGCCAGACAATAGACGAGTGCAAGATCACAGACACTGTACATACACGAGGAAGAATTTGTTACTGCTCGCCGTATAACGGATGCTATCATAAGCATTTTCAGGTCAAACCACTAATATCGGAAGACAACAAAAATGATCTTATCAGTGGATGGAAATCTGGAGACTTTGAATATTTCTTAGAGGTGACTGCTATCAACAACGCTGGTTTAACAACCACAAGACAGAAAAAAGTTAAACTATAAAATATGTATCGTGGACATCTTGGGTTTTGGCAAAATTGAACTCAAGTGTATTAAATGTTTTCTGTAAATGAGAACTTTCTACAATGTAATATAGTGTATCCAGTTTTAAAGCTATATTTTGGTGTCTACACTTTTCTCCTTTTTAATACATAAAAAGGGTTGTAAAACCTGTGGTTGAAGTGTCATGAAATAATTTCATCATAGTTACTAGTATTCTGAAAATGTTGTATGTGTCATGTTATAAATATACGTACAGACTCTTTTTCAATTGAATCATAATTTTAATAATTATTTTAATTCCTTCTAATTCATTTTTTTAATTTTGCTGTAATCGGACATTTTTGTCTCGTTTATTTATTATTATCATTTTTATATTGGGCTTTTGTTTCTATTACTTTAAAACAAAGCATCTCAGTTAAATGGGATAGTTCTACATTGGGCACATAAGTTTTTCAAACAAATACTGATAATGATCATTTAAACCGTTATTCGCACAAATTTGCTATTTTGTTTATTCCTTCTTGCTCAGATTCTATACCCACAAATGCGCTTATAAACAAAGGTTTAAATTTTCAGCACAAAGTCAATCGTATCCCTCTGTTTCATGTTTTGATTTTTGCTTGTCAGTTATACAAGATTAATAGAACGTTAAGAAGAAACATATATATCATTTCAAACAAAGATATATAAATAGTCAATCAAGGACAATATTTTTAATAATTAGATTACATTGTTGCACCCTGATACCGGAAAACAGCATATTTTGAATTATCGAATATGCATACTTTCCTTTATTCGTACAAAGTAATGAGAGGTCGGTAGTTTGTTAAAGACCATAATGATTTCTATTGGTGGGAGAAGTGATAATTGTTTCCATAAAAAGTTTGAAGGTTTATGAAATTCTTGACTAACATACTTGTATTTATTCAACATTTCATATATTTTTAATACATTGCAGCCTAAAATAAATAACCTGCGCAACGCAAAAATCATACCACAGCCTTCATCATGTTAAATTTGACATTCTAATGAAATTATTTATATATTTTATTCAAACTCATCATGTTATTTTTTAATTGAAAAGCCTTATTATATATTCTAAATTACATACTTATATTAATAAACGCATTTACCAGGTATATACATATTGTTCATATTATTTTTATTTAACAACACAAGACAAAAAGGAAGGTAATAATATTACATTTGTAATATTTGTTTGTTGTAGTTCCTCCCCTTGCATTGCACTGCGCGGAAAGACGGTGCATCTTGTTAAGATACATCTTACTGAAGAAATGAACGATAAGAAAGTAATGCATGTAGATTGCTTTCAAAAAACAAGGTTGTGTGTATCTGCGACTAAACAGTTAATGTATGCATCTTATTTTGCAATATTTTTTCTCTAATAATCAATACAAAAATTTAGCATCTAAAATGTCAATGAACCATGGCTAAAAATTGGTTTATTTTTTATAAGGCATGGATGTTTGCTCAAAATAACAGTATATGTGCAAACAAACTAAGGCACATTCGAGGACGTGGATGGAAGCGAGGAGGTGGGTGAAAAATCAGAAAAATGATACTACAACATGTGTAAAAAAGATAATATTTTTTACGACTGTTCAAAATGAACATGCGTACAGTTAATATAATGTCTTATCAAAATGAATAAAATTGTCTTAGCAATTCAAGGAATGCAAATCGTGTCTGTTTTGTAACTTGCCATAAAAACGACAGAAAAACTTGTGATCACTAGTGATTTTAAGTACATGTTATATACAATACTCACACTAGACATGCATACTCTTTATACATGCCTTATCAGTGAAATTGTCGTGATAATACAATATACGTGACATTTCAACAAATAAAGATAATAAATCTCACATAAATGCATTTCTTTTAAGTGTAAATTCATGCCATAAAAACTGATCACAGGTGATAATAAATATGCTTCGTTGACACTTGCTATAAATTCTTTTAAATACTTTTAAGGACCGTGTTTGGAAGCCACTGCGACTGATTTAGAGGAAAGATTAATTCTACCGTATCTCGTTAAATGACTATGTCTTTTATAGCATACGCCATCATTTAATGTATTGAAAGAATTTAAAGCTAGCTACAAGATTTATGCATTGACAGCTTCAACTCCAATGATTGCTATGGCCAGGTAGAAATAAAAAAATAAAAAAAAGATCGATTCAGTTTGCAAACAAATAACAAGTTATATATATTGTTTTTCTTTCTTTTTCTCTTTTTTTATGAATGTAATTTAAATGACAATACATTATTTTTCTATAGTTATAGAGAATAAAAAACACAAAAACAGGGATTGGTAAGAAATGCCCAAAATAATAGCGGCGTGGCCGAATGGTCAACGCGTCGGACAAGTAATCTTGTCAGGATTGCTGAGCGCGTAATATCAAACCCTGTCAGGGGAAAGCCGTTGTTTCCTTGAGCAAGAAACTTTACATGCATTGCTTTGTACTGGTTTATTCCAGGAACGGATTCGAGCGTGTTTCAATAAGTTTACAGCTTCCAACACATTCGAACTAAAATAAATTTGTATAAACCAAATGCCCAAAACAACACGTAAATATACTTTATATTACAACATTTTATTTTCGATCTGACATGTTTTTGCAGCATAAATACATCTACGTTTAAATTAAATTCGGTTAACTTGCCAAATTTATTGCAGAAACTGCCTATTACATTTCAATTACATTTTGCTTTATTGTGATTAATTTTCTTTTAAATCATCATCTATTGTCTTACAAGAATTTCCGTTTTGCCTAGATTGGCAGCAGATAGATTAGAAAATCCATGTTTGGTAAGTGAATTATCCACCTAACCATAGGAAATCTATTAAAAATGTGACAGCAAATTTTAAATGAGAAGTTTTAATTTACATTTTCGTAGAATTTAATTGTAATTATATGTTCCCTCGACGACGGTAATGTTTAACTATTTTAATTAAACGCTTCAATATTTCAATTTATTGCCAGTTGCACTTCCATCTATTTTCTGACTGACAGAGATGTGGTACCAAACTGCGTGTATTTATATGAACGTATGGTAATAAACTTATTAAGGAGAATGTAAAACATGCTGGAATTTCTTGTTCATATAATATATCCGGCCATTTATGTACCCGTCAAAGAGCAAAGATAAAATTATTAAATCTATTTTTCACTGAGAATGACGAAACACGAGAACACTTTGTGAAGTTTACTTCTGATAAAGGAATGCGCAAATACTAAGTGAACAAGACATGTCGATTCCATTATGCCCCGGTCACATATTCACGGATAACGCCACGGAGTAGCTACGGTCGGATATACAAGGACTTCTACGATTGATTACGGTTACAATACGGAGAGCTATACAGGGGTCAGTATCTCGAAGCTATCGTTAGCATAACGACTGTCGTAATTAAGCCTCTCGTTAAGGTTTTCACTGGTATCTCGAAACTCTCGTAATTAACGAATAATCGTTAAAATGCCCAATTATTAACGGTTGCATTGAAGGTGTCGTATAGCTCTCGTTACGATCACTTTGGCACAAAAGGAAGAATACTGCGAATTTCAAATACACAAAAAATGAGATTTATATCAACTTATTGATAAAAATAATGAACATACATAAATATGATTTTTATTTCTTTTTCTCACATATCAAACATATGTAAGAGCTCTTTTAATTTACATAAAGATGTACATTTAAATGCAGATGAAAAAAATCATATCATAACTGAAGTATCGACAGGAAAAAACTCTGTAATGTGTAATTTTGCACAAGACAATATCAATAAATATTTGCATGTACATAATGTTAAAAAAGTAACAAAATTCAGTACATTTTACAGAATTTTATTTCAAAAAGTTATCTGTGATGTAATGATTTAATCGCATGGAGAAAAATGCATTACGTTACGCTGCAAAAATCAGTACAACAAATAGGCATGAAATATATGGAAATTTTGTTTGTTTAACATAACAGATTGAAATATTTTGCTCTTGCCAACACCAGCTGTTATATTTTTACTTGCTATATTTTAATTTGTAATACATAATCCTTTCTTAATCCTTTGTTAAAGACAAAATGAAAATTTATCCATAAATTAACAGAAGATTATATAAACTTAGTGATTATCAAATGAAAATAATATTTTTTAATATAAGACAGGTTGCATGACCTTATACGAGGGATGATCAAAAATAAACCGGACTGTGACTGTCAATTAAAGAATTTTCAACCAATCACTTAGTGTTATATATCACACTTAATTGGAAACCAATACCTGTAAATTGATGCTTTATCTAATCTGATAACGCAAAAAGCTTGTCCGTAACAGCGAATTTAATAACCATGGTAACGCACACCGGCGCAGTGCGTAAAATTCGCCTTGACATCAGGCGCTTTAAGCTGCGTATATTTTACAATATGGCACATTTATATTTCAAAATACGCCAAAACGTCATGAGTCATATCTTTGACGATGTCAGAAAAAAATGACTTCATTTAACGCATATTTATATTTGCAATCACAATTCAAACGTCGCTTGTTAAAGAAATAATCGCGTTAAAACTATGTCGTCGGAACGAGACAATAAGAAAAGTTTATCAAAAATAAGGCGAGAAACTGTTTGAAACGTAGAAAAAGATAATGGCTACCAAGAGAAAAGTTCCTGGAAGCCACAGCATAGTTTTTTATTAGCATAAACCATTAAGAAAGGGTACAAAAGAAATGGAAAACAAGTAAGGGAGAGGCAGAAAGACGAAATTTTTAGAGAGGTTGGCGACGTCAATCGCCGAGACGTTGAAAAATGACAGTCGATTGACTGTGGACATTGTCAATGATGTTCGTCAGTAGCTACTACGGGACGGTGCAGTCCACTCTAACTAAGGATTTTAAAATGATAATGGTTAATGCATTTATTACATATATTGTATTCTTCGTTTACACTTGTATCAATTATTTTCTTATTTTACGCAGTAGTTTTATGGAGAAATTGTGTCAACAATTAGACAGTCACTGTTCAAAATCGGCTATGCGTTTTATTTATTTTAAAATAATGACAATTTTGTTCATAGTTGTATTATTCTTTTATATTTTCTTATGTATGATACATTATCATTCAGCAACATAATTTTACATTATTTGTAATACGTAATATAGTTTATTGTATGTGCGATTTTTCAAATATTCAAGTAACAGAAGGAAAGAACGGAAGTTTGCGTCGTTACAGGAGCTCTTTATCATCATCCATTCTTTTACAATACAATATGATACCAACTTGTACTGAAATATATATAGGCAGTGGATCCGCCGCATCAACAACATGACTGTACCACGTATTGGCCTACTCCGTGAATAAGTAAAACAACTGCTCCGTTAAGGAAAATACACTTGTGACGTCGTTAACGTCCATTTTAAAGTTATACCGTGCGCCGCATTGCTTTACATGGACATGCCAAAAACATCATAACTTTTTTCTTTGTTTATATTTCTTGTTGGTATTTTTTGTATCATTCAGAGGATGGATTCCGATTTATTTTCCGTGTATTTTTATGTAAATTCATTTAACAGGTAAAGAATCATTTACAAAGTCCGGTTAATTTATGATCATCCCTCGTATAAACGGTTGTTTGTTAATATAACCCGAGCCGTCAGGCAAGGTTTATATTGCAAACAACCGTTTATATACGGCCATATAACCTGTCAGGAATATTTATAACGAATTAATAAAGCTTCGAACTTCCTTTTTAAAGAGTAAAAGTAAGATTTCCAGCTCGTGAAAATATATGGAAATTTATCATGTTTCGTGAAAATATTTCTATATTTCACTCAAACGAAAAACATCTTAATATTTCTTTAAAACTAAACCCATCGTCGCTGTCGTCGTTGTATCATCATCATTATCATAGTAATAATCATTGTCACTGGTATATCACGATCGTTTTTTTAACTTACATAAGAAAAAAAGAATTCTAGATTATTTATGGTGAGACCATTTGCAGATACGAGTACATAATCAATTTATTAAGCGTTTACATTGTATACTAAGCAAAGTTATGGACTAACTTGAATCTTAATTTATTGTCCTTATATGTGTTTAAATAAACAG